GGAGTCAATCCTCTCAAACTCTGCTGATGCTTCATCGACTAAGTTGGTGTAATATTCTAAATCCTTCGCTGTCATTTCGACAACGGTCATGGCACCTTCACCAGGAGTAGGCTCCATCTCAAGACCTTCACCAGGAGTAGGCTCCATCTCAAGACCTTCACCAGGAGTAGGCTCCATCTCAAGACCTTCACCAGGAGTAGGCTCCATCTCAAGAAACCACTCTCTTGCTCTTCCATTAGAAGCAACTCCTCATTTGTTCAACTTTCACTATGATACTGCAGCAATTCAGTCACATATTCAGATTCCACTTCTCATTCTAGTTCTCTTCCTATTTCTACCGTATCTGCAGTTACTTCCTCCACTGAAGTCTTGAACCCCTCAAAGTTGTCCATCAGGGTTGAGGTCAATGTCTTCCAAACTCCTGTTAATGTTGATATTTTGACCTTCTCCCATGAATCACAAATGTCCTTAATGGCATCTAGAATGATGAATCCTTTCCAGAAGGTTTTCAAGTTACTTTGTACAGAGGAATCACTATGGCAGCTGCAGCCCTACAAAATGTATTCTTAAAATAAGACTTGAAAGTCAAAATGACTCCTTGAACCATGGAGTAATGGATCCTGTAGATTGGATATTGTTTAGCAGACACGAAAACATTAATCTCTTTGTACATCTCCATCAGAACTCTTGGGTGACCAGATGCATTATCAATGAGCAGTAATATTTTGAAAGAAAGTTTTTGCTTTTGCTTTTCTTTTTTTTTTGAGACGGTCTCACTCTGTCACTCAGGCTGAAGTGCAGTGGTGCAACCTCAGTTCACTGCAACCTCTGCCTCCTAGGTTCAAGTGATTCTCCTGCCTCAGCCTCCCAAGTAACTGGAATTACAGGCGCACACCACTACGCCCAGCTAATTCTTGTATTTTTAGTAGAGACAGGATTTGCCATGTTGCTCAGGCTGGTCCTGAACTCCTGACCTCAAGTGATTCACCTGCCTTGGCCGCCCAAAGTGCTGTGATTACAGGCGTGAGCCACTGCACCTGGCAGAAATTTTTTTCCCTAATATTTAATAGTTCTCAACAGTGGGCTTAAAATAGTAAACCATGCTGTAAACAGATGTGCTGTCATCCAAGCTTTCATCTTCCATTTCTCGAGCACAGCCAGAGTGAATTTAGCTTTTTTTCTTAAGGGCCCTAGGATTTTCTGAATGGCAAATGAGCATTGGCTTTAGTCTAAAGTTACCAGCTGCACAAACCCCTAACAAGAGAGTTGAGCTGTCTTTTGAGGCTTTTAAGCCAGGCATTAACTTCTCCTCTATGAAAGCCCTAGACGGTTTCTTCTTCCAAAAAAGAAGGCTGCTTTGTCTACACTGGAAATCTCGTTTAGTGTAGCCACGTCATCAATTAACTTAGCTAGACCTGGATAAATCGCTACAGCTTCCACACCAGCACTTGCTGCCTCACCTTGCCCTTGTATGGTAACTTCTTAAACCTCAGGAATCAACCTCAAAGTTTGAAAAGCTTCAAACTTTTCTGCAGCTTCCTCACTTCTCTCAGCCTTCATACAGTGGAAGTTATGGCCTTGCTCTGGATTCGGCTTTGGCTTAAGGGAATTTGTGGCTGGTCTGATCTACTCATCAGTAATAACACTGTTGCACTTTTCAGTTTCCTTCTGTCACACAGGCTAGAGCACAGTGGCACAATCATAGCTCACCACAGCCTCGAAATGTAGTTATCTGAAAGCACAATAAAACGAAGTGCAATGAAATGAGGTATGCCTGTACTTTGATAATCATTAATTCATTCTATTTAGAAACAAACATCTGCTTTAGACCAAGAAATAGGTGGCAAGGGTGGAGGGTGTTGGACAACTGGTGGGCAGCATGTGGGACTGGACCCCTGGGATGAGACAGAATGAGAGCAGTAGCAGAATAAAGGAGACAGGATGAAGACAGAAACACCTTTTACATATTCTCACCTGTGCCTCTCTAAGCTTTCTCTATAATTTTGTATAAAATGAATATATTCCTAAATAGTACATTATTTTAGATTTTTAAAAATTTCAACAAATCATGTGACAGCCAGGTGCAGTGGCTCACACCCGTAATCCCAGTACTTTTTTTTTTTTTTTTTTTTGAGACAGAGTTTCGCTCTTGTTACCCAGGGTGGAGTGCAATGGCGTGATCTTGGCTCACCGCAACCTCCGCCTCCTGGGTTCAGGCAATTCTCCTGCCTCAGCCTCCCGAGTAGCTGGGATTACAGGGGTGCGCCACCATGCCCAGCTAATTTTTTGTATTTTGAGTAGAGATGGGGTTTCACCATGTTGACCAGGATGGTCTTGATCTCTTGACCTCGTGATCCACCCACCTCGGCCTCCCAAAGTGCTGGGATTACAGGCTTGAGCCACCGCGCCCGGCCCAATCCCAGTACTTTAGGAGGCTAAGGCAGCCAGATCACTTGAAGCCAGGAGCTCAAGACTAGCCTGGCCAACATGACAAAACCCCGTCTCTACTAAAAACACAAAAACTAGCTGGGCGTGATGGCACTCACCTGTAATCCCAGCTACTCGGGAGGCTGAGGTGAGAATCACTTGAACCTAGGAGGCGGAGGTTGCAGTGAGCCAAGATCACGCCACTGCACTCCCGCCTGGGTGACAGAGCAAGACTCTGTCTCAAAAAAAAAAACCTACTACTATTGCAGTGTAAGGTGTTTTTTTGTTTGTTTGTTTGGGGAGTTTGCTTTTTGCCGTGTTCTGGTTTTGATAATCGCTGTATATGATATCTGGTAGCATAAAACTCCCCAGCCTGTTCTTCAAAATTGGGTTAGGTAATTTGCCCTCTGCCTCTCTATACACACACCCCTCCGGAATTTTGATATTGAATTTACAAATTCATTTGTAAAAATGGAAATCTTGATGAAACTAATCTTTCCTGCCATGAATATAGTGCATCCTTCTGTCATTTAGGTCTCCCTCAATGCCTATAATGGGTATCTGATATTTTACAGCTGCCCAACATATTTTGAAAATCCCTTCCCCATTTTTAGACTTCTCCATATTAGGACTCTCTTCCCAGGCAGAATCCAAAAACTGTATTTCCCGGAATCCCCTGCAACTTGGACATACATATATGACCAACTCCCACTGAGCAGGTACACCCTCGCTGAAAACAGATCCTACCAAAATGACTGCGGGAATATTTTTACTATAGAATGTGAAACGACCTTCCTGGTGGTGCAGTCTCTCTTCACTGGTGACAGTCAGTCCAGTAGCAGGCACCAGCAGATGCTGGGTTTCCACTGGAACCACTTGGCTCTGTGGTCATTTTCCTGGCTTCTGCCTATGTGACATCCCAGCTTAGTTCCTCTAGACATTTTGTAAGCTAATTAATAGGTGGATTAATCTAAGGTAGATTCTGCAGTCTGCTACTGATCACTGACACGGAATTAGGAACCAGAGTGGGTTACTGAGTGTGACAGAACCTTAAAACAGTGGAACTGTTTAGTGGAAGTGCCTGAGAATATGGTGGTGAAGTCAGATATTGCAAGCTGAAAAATAGATGGGCGAGACGATGTGGCCACAGCTCTTCTGGACTCAATTTGGCTCCATATGTTCTCATTCTGGCACGGGGCTCAAGGCGCAGCCACCTTCTGGAGCTTGCTGTTCTCCCACAGAGGGCAGAAACGTAACCATCAGCTGAGCATAACTGAGAAGGACGTTTTGGAAGTTACAGACAGAGGAAGTGGCTGGGCTCCGTGGCTCACACCTGTCATCCCAGCACTTTGGGAGGCCAAGGTGGGTGGATCACCTGAGATTGGGAGTTCGAGACTAGCCTGACCAACATGGAGAAATTCTGTCTCTATTAAAAACTACAAAAATTAGCTGGGCGTGGTGGCACGTGCCTGTAATCCCAGCTACTCAGGAGGCTGAGGCAGGTGAATCACTTGAACCCAGGAGATGGAGGTTGCAGTGAGCCGAGATTGCAACATTGCACCCAGCCTGGGCAACAAGTGCAAAATTCCATCTCAAAAAAAGAGAGGAACTATAAAGTAGTGGCCTAGGAAAGCAGGGGAGTAAAGTGGATTCCAAAAACGTAGTATGTACGACTATCAGGAAACAATAAGAGCCTCCGTGAAATGACCGGTCACGAATTTAAAGTGGCAATGCGGCACGGTACTGTGCTTTCTCCTGACCATTCCTGGTAGCACAGGTCCAGGAACAGAGAAGGGAAAGAGTTGCATTTAGTCTGAGATGAGGTTTTGCAAAGCAAGCGTGACAAGACAAGAGACCGCAAAGGAGTTAAGGAAAACTATAAAGGAATTATTTTAAGAACTGATTGTGGAGTTTAAGCTGGGTAAAAAAAGGAGGAATGGGCATTTTCTGTTTGAAGCATCTCTCTCAAAGCATGGTCCACACTAAAGATCTGGTCTTCACAGACATCCACAGATATCCAAAATCAGAATTTCCGCAAGACAGAAAACTCTTTTTACAAGCACACCATGTAATTCAGGCACACAGTAATGTTTAAAAACCAAGATTGTAAAGGTTTTGCTATTAATTGCTGTAGAGAAACATCTAGATAGCAAGAGCAGCACAAAAGAAAAAAATGTATGGTCCCTCCCATCAATGCTTAGGACTTAACGTTTACATTAATGCCAATAAAATGCATAATTCAAGTTCTTTTTCCAGTAACTATGTCACACAGTCCTTTGAACAGTTGCAAAGGATCCTTACCAAGGCCAAATCCAAGAGCAGCCCCGAATTCCACATCATAAACTACCGCATAAGCCCAGCCACTAACCCGCTACACAGCTCCTTTAAAAACCATTTCGGAGGCCCATTCAGATTCCCCTTGAGCTGGTTTTACACCATTACTTTTATTTCTTTAGTAGTTCATCAAATTCATATTTACAATTCATAAATATGAAATATAGAAGCCAGTGCTTGTCAATAAAAAAAAAAAACAAAATGTTCATGAAGAAAAATCACAACAGACGCAACAAAGATGAATGCATTTATGTATATTTACTTAGGAAATAAAGGTTAAAAGAAACATCTGGCTATCAAGAGCAAAACTAAAGAAAACAAAACCTCATGTTTAAAGACAAGATTGCTATCACTCTTTTTTCACTGTTTACTTCCCATTATCATTTGCATAGACGTATGAGACCCTCAAAGGTCTGTGCCAGGGCAGCGTAACTTCAGCTGTATCAATACCCCATCGAGCCATGGGCCCACTGAACAATCTCCATTAATCTCTACGGTCCACTGCTGGAAGCTTATTCAATCCTCTGTTAGCAGCCACAGGTCTTGTATGCCCCTCCTGTTTCTCCCAGATTGCTTATCTCTAATCATAATGGCCGAATACCGGGATATCCTCCCTTCCAAACTTCCCTGACACCAAAGTGTTCTACCACCAGCAACCCCACGATGCAGATGCAGCCACTGCTGTTCCAGCCTAAAAGAGAACAACGCAAAGGTTAAGTATTTCCATCTTCCATCCAGAAGAGATGATAGAAACACGGTCTTTAACTGTATATAGATTATAATGGAGTTCACGTTGAAACAACTGTAACACATGTAAGGTGAGGTAAAAACTACAAATGAAATTCAAACTAGGTTGCAGGCCGGGCACGGTGACTCACGCCTGTAACCCCAACGTTTTGGGAGGTCAAAGCAGGCAGCTCACTTGAGGTCAGGTGTTTGAGACCAGCCTGGCCAACAGAGTGAAACCCCGTGTCTTCTAAAGATACAAAAATTAGCCAGGCATGGTGATGCGTGCCTGCAATCCCACCTACTCAGGGGTCTGAGGCACGAGAATCGCTTGAACCCAGGAGGTGAAGGTTGCAGTGAGCCAAGATCACACCACCACACGCCAGCCTGGGAGACAGAGAGAGACCCTGGCTCAAAAATAAAATAAAATTAGGTTGGAGATTTGCTAGGCATAAGAGCCATAAGGCTGCTAAGGTAAAGCTCATGAGGAGTGAGAAGAAGGGGTGAGAATAACTGGGGGAGGTTTCACAGTGGGAGTGAGACCCAGGAAGACACGCACTATTTGGGCAGATGAAGGTATTCCAGATGTAGGCAGCAGCATGAACAAATTCCCAGAGGGAGGAAGGAGCACAGCATGTGGGAAGGTCAGTGAAGGCACAGCCACGGCTGGAGCAGTGTGGGACCCCTGGAGAAGAGCAGGAGATAAGGCCAAAGAGGGGCACTGGGGCCCGACCAGGGATGGCCTGAGAAGCTTGACCGGCTTCTTCGCCGCAGGGTGCAATTTCTGATGCTGAACAAAACTTCCATACCATTTGAAGGCTTTCCCACACACCTTACATTCATAAGGCTTCTCCGCAGTGTGAACTCTCTGATGCTGAATGGAGGCTTTTTTCTGAGTGAAGGCTTTGCCACACTCCTTACATTGGTAAGGTTTCTCCCCAGTATGAATTCTCTGATGCACAATAAAAAGTGACCTACAACCAAAAGCTTTCCAGCATTCCTTACATTGATAGAGTTTCTCCCCCGTGTGTAACCTCTGATGCTGAAGGTACGTGGTGCTCCTGCGGAAGGCCTTTCCACACTCCTTACAGTCATAGGGTTTCTCTCCAGTGTGGATCCTCTGATGCTGAGTCAAGGCTGTGCTGGAACTCAAACCTTTGCCGCACTCCTTACATTCATAGGGCCCTTCTCCAACGTGGTTTTTCTCATGTACAATACAGTCGTAGCTGGACTTGAAAGCTTTGCCACATTCCTTACACTTAAAGGGCTTTTCCCCAGTATGACTCATCTGATGCCGAATAAGCTTTGAGTTGTATCGGAAGATTTTCCCACACTCTTTACATTCATAGAACTTCATTCCTCCTCGAAGTATCAGATTTGGATTTAGACTGAAAGTCTGCTTCATTGCCTTACTTTTAAAATCAAAGTGCTGAGAAACATTCCTGAGAAGTCCTCCTACTGGCATTCTGTGCAACTCTGTTTCTTCAGCGGCTTCCTGCTTTATAACTGGCCCTTCACTTTTGATCCAGGACTCACCACCTGACCAAAGAAACCACAAGTGTCCCTAGTTACAAAACTGGAAGAAAAGTAGAATCCAGTGGTCCTAATTTCTCTTGCACAATGCAACTGTTAAAGATATACATGTGACATGGTTATACACAAGCATCTATAAAGGAGGATGAGACAGACAATGAAAAAGAACGGCATGCCAGGTGTGGTGGCTCACGCCTGTAATGCCAGCACTTTGGGAGGCTGAGGCTGGCAGGTGAGCTCAGGAGTTCGAGACCAGCCTGGGCAACGTGGTGAAACACTGTCTCTACAAAAAATACAAAACTTAGCCGAGTGTGGTGGTGCACACCTGTGGCCCTAACTGCTTGGGAGCCTGAGGCGGGAGGATCACTTGATCCCAGGAGGCAGAGGTTGCAGTAAGTGCACATCAGGCCACTGCACTCCAGCCTGGGCAGTAGAGCCAGATCCTGTCTCAAAAAAAAAAAACAGAAAAATAATGACATACAATTGGAGAGGTAAAGACACAAAACAGAACAGGAAAGACAGCCAGGAAGTGCTCCCTGTGAGAAAGGCTGGAAAATGAGCTAAGGTAAGTGAAATGGGAAGGAGAATCAAGAATGGGAAGGAAAGAAGGCATGAGGGGAAAAAAGAGAAGAGAATAAATGGGAAGAAATGGGAAAATTTTTTAAAGAGAAACAGAAACCCAGAAGAGGAAAAAAAGAATGAGGGACTGGGGAGAACAGAGAAGCAGCTCCAGCAAGACAAGAGGCCTTGTAGAGAAACACAAACCAGGAAAAAATGGATCCCAATCCCCTACCTGTAACCCAGGAAATCACGTCAGATTCTAAACAATGTTCTAATTAGCCTAGATTTAAATATCCCACACAATATTCTGAGATCCAAGATGATTACTGCTGGGCGCAGTGGCACACACCTGTAATCCCAACACTTTGGGAGGCCGAGGCGGGCAAATCACCTGAGGTCGGGAGTTCAAGACCAGCCTGAGCAACATGGTGAAACCCTGTCTCTACTAAAAATACAAAAAAAAAAATTAGTTGGGCATGGTGGTGCATGCCTGTAATCCCAGCTACTCGGGAGGCTGAGGCATGAGAATTGCTTGAACCCGGAGGCAGAGGTTGTGCTGAGCCGAGATCACAACATTGCACTCCAGCCTGGGCGACAAAAGCGAAACTCTGTTTCAAAAAAAAAAAAATGACTTTCAGAAAGTCAGCTGTAACAGAAGCGTGTGTGCATGTGTGTGTGTGTGTGTGTGTGCGTGTGTGTGTAGGGGGCTATGATGGGAGAATATTCCTAGCCCTTTGCATGTTTGTGTGTGTGCATGTGCGTGTGTGTGTGTGTGTGTGTGTGTAGGGGGCTATGATGGGAGAATATTCCTAGCCCTTTGCATGTTTGTGTGTGTGCATGTGCGTGTGTGTGTGTGTGTGTGTGTGTGTGTGTGTAGGGGGCTATGATGGGAGAATATTCCTAGCCCTTTGCATGTTTGTGTGCATGTGTGTGTGTGCGTGTGTGTAGGGGGCTATGATGGGAGAATATTCCTAGCCCTTTGCATGTTTGTGTGTGTGCATGTGTGTGTGTGTGCATGTGTGTGTGTGTGTAGGGGGCTATGATGGGAGAATATTCCTAGCCCTTTGCATGTGTGTGTGTGCGTGCGCGTGCGCGCGCGTGTGTGTGTAGGAGGCTATGATGGGAGAATATTCCTAGCCCTTTGCGTGTGTGTGTGTGTGTGTGTGTGTGTGTGTGTGTAGGGGGCTATGATGGGAGAATATTCCTAGCCCTTTGCATGTTTGTGTGTGTGTGTGTGTGTGTAGGGGGCTATGATGGGAGAATATTCCTAGCCCTTTCCTCTAACATCCCACCTAAGGTAAATAAAATGTAGATATAAAGATTATAGCAAATGAAACTCTTAAGTGATTTAGATACTAAAAAGGCAAATTAAAGCCATTCTTTTCAGGGCTGAAGGCCTAAAGTAAAATTCACAGCTATAGCACAAATAAATCAGTCTGGCCAAAATCATATTTTCCTTAAAGCTGCCTGAAACCCCACTTCTTTGCAATGACAAGTGGCATACAATTAGAACTTTTCCACTGGTAAGTAAGAAAGAAGTGGTTTAGGAGCCACAGGGTCAGTTTTTCTGCCTGGGAGGACAGCCACATCAATGTGCAGATGACATGAGGCCATGTGGTCTTTCGAAGCTCAGGCTCAGAACTCAGCATAAGGTCAGAGTGCAGTGAGCATCGACTTGTGAATGACTGGGAGCCCTGTTCCTGGCAGCATACAGAACGCTTCTCCTCGCAAAGCAGGGAGACAAAACAAGAAACTGCCTTGGATTCTCACACTCACCCTGACTGATGCCTCTTGGAATCTCGGCATCCCAGGGATCTGGTCCCCATGGCGCTTCCCCTTTCTCCAGGTGAGAGATCAGAGCAGGTTTGGGGAATGGAAATGCTACTTCATGAAGAAAAAGAGAAAGACAAATTGAGGGGAGACATACAGAGCTGTTCCTGGCATCTCTCTCAGCCCACCCTCCGTCAGGCTACCTGGGAGAGAAACGGAACACCAGCAGACCAAGTGAGAGTTCCACATGGAGGTCCAAACTGTGCTCCACAGTTAAGCTGAGGAGGTATGATTCTCCTCCGAAAGAAGCTGCAAGCTGGCCCTGACTCAGAAGGGAAACTCCCTCAGGAATGATGTACACGCTGCTCCCTTGGGAGACTCTTCCGCAAACAGAGGGCCAGCATCGCCAGAAAACGGGATGGATGAAGGAACAAAGGGCTTACCTAGGGTGCCAGAGAGAATGCTTTCCCGACCAGGTGCAGTGGCTCACGCCTGTAATCCCAGCACTTTCGGAGGCCAAGGCAGGCGGATCACCTGAGGTTGGGGTTCGAGACCAGCCTGACCAACATGGAGAAAGCCCATCTCTATCAAAAATATAAAAAATTAGCCAGGCGTCGTGGCACATGCCTGTAATTCCAGCTACATGCGAGGCTGAGGCAGGAAAATCGCCCAAACCCCTGAGAAGGAGGTTGCAGTGAGCCGACATCATGCCATTCATTGCACTCCAGCCTGGGAAACAAGATTGAAACTCCATTTCCAAAAAAGCAAAAAAGAACATTTTCCCTCAGGGCCCAGAACCACACTGTTACCTGGAGTATAAGGAAGTCTAGTTTCAAAACCAAAGAGAAGCCAGGCACAGTGGCACACGCCTATAGTCCCAGCTACTTAGGAGGCTGAGGCAGGAGAACTGCTTGAGCCCCTGGACTTTGAGGCTGCAGTGAGCCATGGCTGTGCCACTGCCCTCCAGCTGAGGTGACAGAACGAGACTTGTCTCAAAAAAAGGAGAAGCAAGAATTTCCCTCCCCAGTATTTCTGGAGGCTGGTGATTGCAAAACTCTTCTCTGAAGTCATCAAACCCTAGGGCTACCAGAATCCCCAAAACATCTGAGGAAGATAGCAAACTGTTACAGCCGGCCACAGAGGGAGGCCTTACCCAGGGAAGTCACGTTTGCATAATTCTCCAGCATCACCTCCCTGTACAGGGCCCTCTGCGCAGGGTCGAGGCTGGCCCATTGGTTCTGGGTGAAGTACACAGCCACGTCCTCAAAAGCCACTGACTCCTGAAACCACAGGTTCCTGCTCAGTCTCTGTGTGAGAAGCAGAAGGGAGAAGGGAGCAGCCTGAGCTTCGGGGAAGAGATAAACCTGCCTGAGTCCACATGGAACTCAGCCCCACTGAGCAGCCCCAGAGGTGCAGCCTCTCAAACAAGAGCAGCCAGCACACAGACAGGGCAAGCTCTCAGCCGGAGTTCCACTTGCACACAGGGAGCCCCAGCCTCTCCCATCTCCCTGGCTCTGGAGCCCCTAACTGCTACTGCTTGTTACAGCCTTGCATCCAGGTGCTTTCTCCCTGGCAACTGTATCTGCTCCTAGGTTCCTGGCTTCACAGATCTGTCCCCTGGCACCTCCTACCCTCATGCACTCCATACTCCTGTCTCCTTATTTTCTATACCCCAACCACTACCGACAGCTGTGACTCACCCTGTGCGATGGTTTGGCTGTGTCCCCACCCAAATCTGATCTAGAATCCCCACGTGTTGTGGGAGGCACCTGGTGGGAGGTCATTGAATCATGGGGGCAAGTCTTTCCCGTGCTGTTTTCGTGATAGTAAATAAGTCTCATGAGATCTGATGGTTTTAAAGAGTTCCCCTGCACGAGCTCTTTCATTTTTCCCTTGCTGCCCCCATGTAAGAAGGGCCTGTGGTCCTCCCGGCATGATTCTGAGGCCTCCCCAGCCACGTGGAACTGTAAGTACAATTAAACCTCTTTTTCTTCCCAGTCTCGGGTATGCCTTTATCAGCAGCACGAAAATGAACTAATCCACCCTGTATCCACGCATCCGAAGTGCACAAGCACAGCCCGTCTGCTCCCCGGACCTTGCATCTCTGAATCCACCCTCTATCCACGCATCCGAAGTGCACAAGCACAGCCCTGTCTGCTCCCTGGACCTTGCATCTCTGAATCCACCCTCTATCCACTCATCCAAAGTGCACACGCACAGCCCCATCTGCTACCTGCACCTGGCATCTCTTTGGTTCTCCCCAACATTGTCCACTATGTGCAGAGAAGTGTTAGAAATATACACATTTCTCTTTTCCACCTTTCTGCCTATCAGAAAGCTGGCTCTCTTGAAAGAAACCTTTAGCCATCCTGTTTTGACCCTCTTCTCTGAACCACCAGTCTTCAAAGATAGGCTGGCAATGTCAAGTTCCTGGGCACAGACCTGTCTCCCAGTTTTCTGAGCTCCAGCCCAACTACCAAGGCTGTCTCTTCACTAGGCGTTCCTCTCTCTGACTCCCTCCCCCGGGCCATCTCCATCTTCCCAAGAATGAAGACAACTATACTGGTTGATTAGCCCTATGCACCAGGCTTTCAGGTTGGTTATTTTATTTTTTTTTATTTTTTCGAGACGGAGTCTTGCTCTGTCACCCTGGCAGCTTGGGGTGCAGTGGTACAATCTCAGCTCATGGCAACCTCTGCCTCCCAAGTTCAAGCTGGGATAACAGACACACACCGCCACGCAAGGCTAATTCTTGTATTTTTAGTAGAGACGGGGTTTCACCATGTTGGCCAGGCTGGTCTCGAACTCCTGACCTCAGGTGATCCACCCGAATATGGATCCCAAAGTGATGGGATTACAGGCATTGAGCCACTGCACCCAGCCTTACTCTACTTCTAGTCAGCATAGGGCAGAACACAGAGATGAGGCTCTCAGCTTGGAGGCGGTTTTATGACCTGTATGCCTTCTCACCTTGATGCTCCCACTGATGATTCCACCTCCCAGGAGAGTCTCATTACCCTGTGCAGTCAGCCCTGTTCTTTGCAGATACTAAAAATGAAAATACCTACCACAGGGGCACAGCCAAGCTCCTAACTCTCACACGTCACATTCTACATTCTGACTCCTGGTAGCCCTGAAGCAGCCTATGCACTGGAGTGGGCACAGGGAAAAAAGGAGAAGGGGTCTGACGCTAACTGGTCTTGAAGGAAGGGGGAAGCACTGTACAGCAAGGATAAATTCTGGCCACTCAAACAGCTCACAGCAGCCCTACTGGCTCTATAGGCAGGTCCTTATGAGAGGAGCCTTTTCAACAAGAGCAGTTAGAGAACTCAGCTCTAAAGGAAACACTGAAAGGAAAAAATATAACTTAGACACTCCTCAAAGGGAGAGCCAGCCTTTAATCTGGGCAATGATGAGGTCCAAAGGGCCCCCAAAATAACGTAAGCCAAAAATCCAGACAGCAGACTGGATCATGTGTCCTGTGTACAACGACTGCTCTGCCAAGGCGTTAAGGGCCTCTGAGGACAGTAACCACAGGCGCACAGGGAAAAGCAATTTCACCTCCTCTTAGAGCAAGTCAAGCCTCACCCCCTGACATCTCCAGAGCTTCTCTCATAACGTTCTTCTCCCGGCCTACATCCATCAGCTCTTCTTTCATAAACTGTCTGCCTCTCCTGCCATCTACTATCCTCAACTTTCATGAGCCCTAGAAAGTGCCTAATATTAAAGAAAAAAACTTGTTTTAAGGCAGTTGGGTTATTAAAAACAGTATCTTTTTGTTCCTCCGGTGGTTGGTCCCTATGCACCTCATCTTATTTTCTTTTTCTCTCACGTCATATGATGTGGTTTACTACCTATCCCCCCACCAGAGTGTAACTCCATGAGGCAAGAACTGTTTGCTCATGATTGGTTTAGCACACAGTACAGTGCCTGATAGGTACTAGATGCTTAAGAGACATTTCCTTAAATAACTGATTTCAAAAATGGTTTAACCATAAATAAAATTTTTTTAACTCATGAAGAGAGTGAGAAACCAACATTAAACACCACCTAAACAGTAAAATGCCAGAGCAAATCCATTAAAGTTGATAGCTGACAATTCGCCATAAGGTGAGGTTCTATTTTTGCAACAGAAAGGAAAAGGAGCATAAATATAGGAAGTAAATGAACATAAATATCTTTGCTTGCAGATGAAATAACTACCTGCCCAAAGACATCTAAGAGCCATGAAAATAAACTGAAAACATTTAGAGCTGATAAAACAATTCACTAAGTTATCTAGATACAGAGTAAGTAAACCAGAATTATAGCTTTCCTAAGTACCATGATAAAACTGGAAGACGCACTGAAAGAAACTAAGATGCCATTCACACAAAAAATTGCTAATAATGGACCTAAGAGAAATCAGTGAGAACAGGATGGAAGAACGCCAAATGTTTACTACGATACATTTAAAAAGAACTGAATAAATGGGAACATATAGTGCTTCTGAATGCGAAGAATCAAACTTGTAACGAAGTCAGTTATCTCCAAATTTACCCATGAATTCAATAAAATCCACTTTCCTACCAAAAAAATCCATGAAATTTGTGCAGGAGTGGGAGATCATTTAAAGTCATCTAAAAAAGCATGTGTGAAAAACTAGCTAACAATGTTTTGGGGAAAAAAAATTTGAAACAAAAAAAATGAGGGGGAATTAAGCCATATTTTAAAAGGATAATACGTTAAGAAAATGAGAAGACACGCTAAAGTCTGGGAGAAAGTATTGCAGGAGACATATCTGATAAAGCACTATTATCTGAAATATACAAAGAACTCTTTATGAACAAGCCGATTAAAAAACAGGCAAAGGACATCAGCAGACACCTCAACAAAGCAAATATACAGATAGCAAAGAGGCATATGAAACGATGCTCAAGATTATACGTCACTGGGGAATAAAAACAATGAGACACCACTACACACCTACTAGAAAGGCCAAAATCCAAAACACTGGCCAGGATGTGAAACAAATAGGAACTCTCATTCGTTGCTGGTGGGAAGAAATGAATGCAAAATGGAACAGCCACTTTGGAAGACAGTTTGTCAATTTCTTACAAACTAAACATACTCTTACCATACAATCCAGCAGTCATGGCTCCTCGGTACTTAACTAAAGGAGCTGAAACCTTATGTCCACACAAAAACCTGTATGTGGACATTTATAGGGGCTTTATTTATTATTGCCAAAACTTGGAAGCAACCAAGATATCCTTCAGTAGGTGAATGGATAAACTGCAGTATATACAGACAATGGAATATTATTCAGCACTAAAACAAAATGATCTATCAAGGCATTACATACAGGAAACGAAATGCATTATCACTAAGTGAAAGAAGCCAACCTGAAAATGCGACGTAACTGTGTAATTCCAGCTGTATGACATTCTGGAAATGGCAAAACTATGGAGAGAGTGCAAACATCAACTGATGGTTGTCACCTGGGATGGGACGAAGGGGAAAGTAAGGATGGATAAGAGGAGCATAAGGGATTTGTAGGGCAGTGAAGCTCTTCTGCATAATAATATAATGGTGGATACATGTCATCCATCAAGAGTGAACCCTAATGTCAACCACTGACTTTGGATGACAATGATGTGTCAGTGTAGGTTCATCCCTGTAACAAATGTGTTTCTCTGGTGTGGAGTGTTAATAATGAAGGAGGCTGTGCGTTTTGGGGTGGCAGAAGATACACAGGAACTCTTCTTTCTGCCCAATTTTGTTATCATCTGAAACTGCTCTAAAACATGACCTGTTTTAAGTAGCAGTGTTAAATTGTTTCAGGGGTAAGTTATTTCTCAATCAAACCTCACAGGCTACTTAGGGCACATGAGAGAATAAGGAAAGAAAAAAAGCATTTCTGTTCTTTTAAAGACACTAACATTGTACTGTGCTGATAGCAGACTTGTATTTGAACTTCCCTCAGAGCAGGGAATACATGGAAAATCTCTGTACCTTCCATTTAATTTTGCTGTGAACCTAAAACTGCTCTAGAAAATAAAAAGTATAAATAAATTAATTAAATTTTTAAATGGACAACACTTAATATCTTACCTGACTGCAATATCCTCTTAATTGACTCACACCTTTCTACAGCCAATTTGCCACTAAGGGCAAAAATCTTTTTAATATATAAATCCAACCAGTCATCCCCCTGCTTAAAATTCTTCGGTGCCTTCCTGGTGAACCAGAACAGAAATCACTGTCCTCACCATAACCTACAATACCACTATCTACTTCTTCCATCTCATATTGAACCACTTTCGCTGACCCCTTCCTGTTAGTAGAGTACATCCAGCTTTCTCTCCAATTTCAGAGTCCTTGCATCAGCATTTAGAAAATGTAGATTAAAATAATACTAGTCTTTCTGGGATACATAAAATTTGTGGAGCAACCTCTCCAATAAAGAATTTCTTATTTCAGGCCTGGAACAGAGACTCATGCCTGTAATCCCAGCACTCTGGGAGGCTGAAGTAAGTGGATTACCTGAACTCAGGAGTTTGAGACCAGCCTGGCCAACATGGTGTAAACCCTGACTCTAAAAATAACAAAAGGGCCGGGCGCGGTGGCTCAAGCCTGTAATCCCAGCACTTTGGGAGGCCGAGGCGGGTGGATCACGAGGTCGAGAGATCGAGACCAACCTGGTCAACATGGTGAAACCCCGTCTCTACTAAAATACAAAAAATTAGCTGGGCATGGTGGCGCGTGCCTGTAATCCCAGTTACTCAGGAGGCTGAGGCAGGAGAATTGCCTGAACCCAGGAGGCGGAGGTTGCGGTGAGCCAAGATTGCGCCATTGCACTCCAGCCTGGGTAACAAGAGCGAAACTCCATCTCAAAAAAAAAAAAAAAAAAATTAGCCATGCGTGGCAGCACACACCTACTCAGCTACTCAGGAGGCTGAGGCATGAGAATCACTTGAACCCGGGAGGCAGAGGCTGCAGTGAGCCCAGATCATAATGCCACTGCACCCCAGCCTGGGCAACAGAGCAAGACGCTCTCTCTCAAAAATAAAAAAAAATTCCGATTTCAGCAGGTGACTCTCATTTCCAGAACATGATCTGGACTTCCACATTCAGAAAGAATTTCTTGGCATGGGTCCACTTTCTTCGATTTAAATCTATACATCCAAACTCACCACTCTCTATACACAAAACTTTTAATTCCCCAGCACGTATTTACATCTGGGATGCATACAAATAGGGAAACACAGCCTAGCCAAGTTAGGCCTTCCTCAGCCTTTCCTGATTATCTGACAGCTAATGTGAGTTAAAAAAAAAAAAAAAAAATACTGAAAGAAGCTCAGCTCACCTGAGGCCAAGCTGTTTGGAGCATGGCGGATGTCCCCTGGCTTCGTGCACTGTCTTCTGGGTTTGGACAGGCAAGATCCTTAGGAGCTAAGACAAAAAGAGCCATGAGTGCCAAGGACCTGTGCACCGCCTACCAGCACAACCTATGGCCCTCTCAGTTTCCACTTCCACAGCACCGGGTGCACGGAGATCCCACTAGGGCTCCCTCTACTTGTTCTCACGCTGAGAGCCCCAACCTTCTTAGGAATTGTTCTGCCTGGTCTTCGGGGCGACCTTCCACCCGCCTGCTCCCTCTGAAGAGCTTTTAGAGCCCATTCGCACGGGTAGACTGAGGGACCCAAAAGAGCCCTGTGCTGATGGTGTCGGGTCCCTACAAACGTAAAGAGTCTTCACGGAATGCTTACAGGGACGATGACGTTCACCCAAACGAACCTCGGAAGGGGGACTGGGGTGGCTGAATGCGGATTAAGGGTGCTGCGGACCGGACACCCCACCCAACCGGGATCGTAACGCTCCACCCAAGAAGGCGGGCGACCCCAAACATCAGTACCGGGAGCGAGAGGCTGTCAGGACAAGTTCTTTAGGGCAGAAAAGAGGCTCGGGCCTCGGTGGCAAAGGGCTGGACCCGGGCTCTGGAAGCCCGAGCAGCCACCTTGGCGGCTTCGGCGAGGCCCAGATGCCCACGGTCCGGGTGAAGGAGGGGCGGGCCGCCATTGAGGCCAACATCGGGGGAGTGGGGGCGGCGAGGAAGTCGGCACCGGGCGGACCTGACACGTGGAACCGGCTGAAACCGTCGCTCTGCCGAACGCGGGAGCCGGTAACTAAAGGCCGGGCCGGAAGGGCGAGTGCGCGCCCGGGGCCGCTCTAGGCCCCCGGAGGCCACCATCTCGGTCGCCCCGCTGCCGGCCCCTCCCCGCCGCTCACTCGGGCCCCGCCCTGCGTAAGAGACGCGGTTGCGGCGACCGAGGGGCTGAGCGTTCCGAGGCGTGCGCGCCGCCTGGGGCGTGTCACCGGCTGATGCAGCCTGGCTCTACCCAGACCTCCGCCTCTCCGCACAAGTGGGGCTCCAGTTCCCGGGCTGAACGCCTTCACCCCGTGGCTCACCTGAAGCCTGGGCGGTGGGGGTAACGGGAGAATGGCGCCTGCTGTGTCATCTTTAGGAGGCCCAAGCCCGGGATCCTGCTCCAGACCTCAGCTGGGCTGTCCCCGTAAGGCCGGTTGACTCGCCCGGAGCTCAGACACGCCCATTCCTATCCCCACCTGAAAATTACGTCACCAGATTACGCCATCATCTAGCTCTGCTTTGGAAAACCCCTCCTCACTCAGCACTAAGCTCTGCACCGGGCACCTAGCCCGCCATGGAAATCCCCTCTGCATTCAGGACTAAGCTCTGCACCCGCCACCTAGCCCGCTTTGGAAATCCCCTCTGCACTCAGCGCTAAGCTCTGCACCCGCCACCCAGCCCGCCTTGGAAATCCCCTCTGCACTCAGCGCTAAGCTCTGCACCCGGTACCTTGGAAATCCCCTCTGCACTCAGTGTTAAGCTCTGCACCCGGCACCTAGCCCGCCTTGGAAATCCCCTCTGCACTCAGCGCTAAGCTTTGCACCCGGTACCTTGGAAATCCCCTCTGCACTCAGCGCTAAGCTCTGCACCCGCCACCTAGCCCGCCTTGGAAATCCCCTCTGCACTCAGTGCTAAGCTCTGCATTCGCCACCTAGCCCGCCTTGGAAATTCCCTCTGCACTCAGCACTAAGCTCTGCACCCGACGCCCGCTCACCAGAAATTCCCTCTGCGCTCAGCACTAAGCTCTGCATCCAGTACCTAGCCTGCCTTGGAAATCCCCTCTGCACTCAGTGCTAAGCTCTGCACCGGGCACCTAGCCTGCCTTGGAAATCCCCACTGCACTCAACACTAAGCTCTGCACTGGACACCTAGCCCGCTCACTGGAAATCCGGCCTACCTACCAATAGCAGCTTGCCCTGTCTATGTCCTGTTTCTCCACAGCCAATCAAACACCTTCACTCCCTATAAAACCCCATGCCTAAGAGAAGTCCAGTGTGACTTCTCTGGCCTCTTTCCCCGGGATCACAGAACCTTGCCCCGAAGCCAAATAAATTGGCGTCTAATTGTTCTCATGCAGACCTCAGTTTCCTCATTTTAAACACGGGAATAAACCTCACAAGACAATAACTCTAACAGTCCCCAGGGAAACCACGGTTTCCACTTGCCCTTTTAGCCCTCTCCCTTCCAAGGACCTAGATGAGTGTGGAGCCTTTTAGGACAAATTGATTTAACAACCAGAACACCGGTGGCTACAGGCATCCTCTATATACAGGACATGTCATGTATTAAATGATCTTGTCTTGTGTTGACTTTAGCAGGACACCCTAAATGTCTTATATTTAGCCTTTTCCAATAAATTACAAAAATTCATAGTTAGAGCTATTTTTCTGTTCAGTAATTGGGACTTAAATAATTTAAATGTTAACACTGGCTAAAATGTATATGTCTCATATCTCCACAGATAAGTATCTGGACAATCCTTTGTAAGCCCGGTTGCCTTGCTGGGAGCTCAGACACGCCCATCCCTCTCCATGCCTGAAAACTATGTCACCAGAATCTGCACTTGACACACGCCCACTTCTTCACTCAACACTAAACTCTGCACTCAGCACCTAGCCCACCATTAGAAAACCCTGCCAAAATTTAAAAGAAGCCCTGCCAAAACCTGCCCAATAGCACAGCCCGCTCACCAGAAATCCCGCCTACCTACCAATAGCAGCTTGCCCTGTCCACGTCCTGTTTCTCCACAGCCAATCAAACGCCTTCACTCCCTATAAAAACCCCACGCCCGAGAAGAGTCAAGTGTGACTTCTCTAGCCCTTCCCCAGGACCATAGAACCTCACCCAAGAGCCAATTAAATTTCTTTATTTTAATAACTAGCCTCAGTTGCCTCATTCAAACCCTTACATTTGATGCTGAAATCTGGGAAGGTATGCTAGGTCCTGAGTAGGAAGGCAGTACAGAATAGGTAGCCCCCATATCCACTAAAAGGAAATGGACTTACCTGCTACTTGCAGCTTTACCCTGGGCTCGGCAAGGGTGATGGGGGTCCTCGAGTCTGGGTTGCATCAGTCGTCTAGAAGGCCGAGAAGTTCAAGCGAAGGGACTGCTTCCTGTGGACTGGCCTGCCCTCCACATAGAGGTGTGGGGGGTGAGCCTGCAGCCTGGGATGGGCAGTCAACCTTCCAGTGTCCAGTCTGTTTGCAGCAGGGTCCAGGAGGTGGATGAGAACAGGGGCACTACTGTGCCCAGTGTCCCTCCTGGCCACATTTGAAACAGGGCCTGGGCAGGGCTTTTGAAGAATTTTGTGAGGGTTTCGATGGACCTCCTCCACTGGTTGTTTGGTGGGCTGCTAGCCAAGGGTTTGAATGAGGTAACTGAGACCAGTTATTGAAATAAAGAAATTTAATCGGCTCCTGGGCAAGGTTCCATGGTCCCAGGGATAGGGGCCAGAGAAGTCACACCTGACTCTTTTCGGGCATGGGGTTTTATAGGGAGTGAAGGCGTTTGATTGGCTGTGGAGAAACAGGACGTGGACAGGGCGAGCTGCTATTGGTAGGTAGGCAGGATTTCTGGTGAGCAGGCTGTGCTATTGGGCAGGTTTTGGCAGGGCTTCTTTTAAATTTTGGCGAGGTCGAGTGCATAGTTTGGTGCTGAGTGTTGCAGAAGGTAGAGGTGGGTGTGGGGAGCCCGCATGGAGAGGCCAGATGCTGAGTAATGCGTTTGGAATGATGACATAGTTATCAGGTATGGAAAGGGATGGGTGTGTCTATGTAGCGCCCAGTGAGGCAACTGGCCTTGCACCCTTATGGTCTAATTTTTGTATTTTCAGTAGAGATGGGGTTTCACCATGTTGGTCAGGCTACTCTAGAACTCCTGACCTCGTGATCCAGCCGCCTCGGCCTCCCAAAGTGCTGGGATTACAGGTGTGAGCCACTGTGCCCCACCACCAATTATATTTTTATATGTCAGCAAAGAACTGGACATGTACTATTTATTACTACAAGTAACAAGTTAAGTATTTATGGCATCAAAAATATAAAATTTTTAGATGCATCTGAGGAAAAGTGTAAAAGATCTGCAGAGTAAAAATTACAAAACTTTGCTGAGAGAAATTAATAAGTATCTAAATAAATGGGGAGATCTACCGTGTCCATGGGTCAAAAGACTCTGTACAGTTGTCAATGGTCCACAAATCAATCTTTATATTCATGGAAGCCCAATCAAACTCCCAGGAGGTTGCTGGGCACAGTGGCTCACAACTGTAATCCCAGCACTTTGGGAGGCCAAGGTAGGCGGATTATGAGGTCAAGAGATTTGAGACCATCCTGGCCAAAATGGTGAAACCCTGTCTCTACTAAAAATACAAAAATTAGCTGGGTGTGGTGGCATGCGCCTGTAGTTCCAGCTACTTGGGGGGCTGAAGCAGGAGAATCACTTGATCCAGGAGGCAGAGGTTGTAGTGAGCTGAGATGGCGCCACTGCACTCCAACCTGGCGACAGAGTGAGACTCAAAAAAAAAAAAAACCCTTCTGGGAGGTGTTTTGTGGAAATGGAAAAACGGATTCTGATGTTCATATGGAAATGCAAAAGACCTCTAATGGCCAAAACACTTTGACAAAGAGCAAAGTTGGAGAGCTAACACTATATGACTTTAACCCTTATCAGATCACTACAGTAATGAAGGCAGTGCCTTAATGGCATCAAGACAGACATACAGATCAATGGAATGGAAGAGAATCTAGAAGTAGATCCACACATATATGGACATCTGATTCACAACAATGGTACAAAGGCAATTTGGTGGAATAACTTTTTCAAAAAATGGTGTTACAGGCCAGGCATCAGTGGCATAGACTTGTAATCCCAGCTACTCAGGAGGCTGAGGCAGGAGGATCATTTGCGACCAGGAATTCAAGGGTACAGTACACTGTAATCATGCCTGTGCATAGCACTGCACTTCAGCAACATAGTGAGACCCATCTCTAAAAAAAGAAAAAGTGATGCTACAATAGGATACTTATATGAAGAAAAAAAAATTAGATCCATGCCTCAGACAAAAATTAACTTTTAATAGATGATAGAATTAAATGTAAAGCCTAAAACTATAAAACTTCTGGCCAGACACGGTGGCTCACGCCTGTAATCCCAGCACTTTGGGAAGCAAGGCAGGCGGATCACTTGACGTCAGGAGTTCAAGACCAGCCTGGTCAACATGGTGAAACCCCATCTCTACTAAAAATACGAAAATTAGCCAGGTGTGGTGACATGTGCCTGTCATCCCAGCTACTCAGGAGGCTGAGGCAGGAGAATCACTTGAACCTGAGAGGTAGAGGTTGCAGTGAGCAACCTCCAGAGTTGCTCTATAGTGCACCACTGCACTCAAGCCTGGGCAACAGAGTGCGTCTCTGTTAAAATAAACAAACAAAAACTATAAAACTTCTAAAAGGAAAACAGGGGAAAAAAAAACTTTGCAAATTTAGGTAAAGCAAAATGTCTTAGAGTTGACACTGAAACCATGATCCATTAAAAAAACAGGCTAGGCACGGTAGCTCACATCTGTAATTCCAGCACTTTGGGAGGTCAAGGCAGGAGGTTCGCTTGAGCCCAGGAGTTCGAAGCCAGCCTGTGCAACATAGTGAGACCCCATCTCTATTTAAAAATAAATAAAATAAATTGGATTTCATGCCTGCTAATGTCTTCTGTTCTTTAAAAGACACTGTCATTATGCACACCTGTAATCCCAGCCACTCATGAGGCTGAGGTGGGAGAATCACTTGAACCTGGGAGGCAGGGTTTGCAGTAAGCCAAGACGGTGCTACTGCTCTCCAGCCTGGATAACAGGAACACAAATAAGCACATTATTCATTAGAGAAATGCAAACTAAAACCACAATGGGATAGCATTTAACAATTAGAATAGCTAAATTATTGAAAACTGACATCAAGTGTAGGCACTGATGTATTGGAAGTACAATTCTCATACAATGCAAGTGGACATGTACAATGGCACAACCTCTTTCGTAAAACAGTTTTGAAGATTCTCAAAAAGTAAAATAGGGCATCGTGGTGCACATCTGTAGTCCCAGCTACTTAGAGTAGGACAGGAAGAATGAGCCAGGATACCCTGAGCCCAGGAGTTTGAGTCCAGTCTGGGCAAGAAAGCAAGAACCACCTCACCTCTAAAAAATAGAAATGTAATAAAAGTGTAAACGTTTAATATACACTAATCTACTGAATGACCTATCCACTGCACTCCTGGTATCGAGACAAATGAAAGCATATATTCTTACAAACACACGGACACAAATGTTCATAGCAGCTTTATCTGTAATAGCCCAAAACTAGAAACAACCCAAATGGCCCTCAACAGGTCAATGAATAAACAAATTATGGCATATCCATACAGTGGAATACTTCTCAGCAATAAAAAGGAATGAACTATATATATGCAACAACATGTGTGAATATCAAAGTAATTATGCTGAGTGAAAGACACCAGACCAAAAAATAAATGGAAATTAATCCATGTGACAGAAAGCAGCCAGTGGTTGCCTGAGAAGGGCCAAGAGGAAGGAATTATGGAGGGGCACAAGCAAAGTTTTGGGGTGGTGGCTGTTTATTATCTTGACTGTGGTAACTGTTTCACCAGTATATTGATAAGCCAAAACTTATCAATAGGATTATAATAGGTAATACTTTGTTCTCTCTTCTTTTGAGATGGAGTCTCGCTTTGTCACCCAGGCTAGAGTGCACTGGTGCCATCTCAGCTCACTGCAACCTCCGCCTCCTGGGTTCAAGTGATTCTCCAGCCTCAGCCTCCCAAGTATGGGACTACAGGTGCGCACCACCACACCCAGCTAACTTTTTGTATTTTTAGTATAGACAGGGTTTCACCATATTAGCCAGGATAGTCTTGATCTCCTGACCTCGTGATCCACCTGCCTCAGCCTCCCAAAGTGCTGGAATTACAGGCGTGAGCCACCACGCCCAGCCAATAATAGGTAAAAGTTTTATTATATATAGCTACTGTTTGAAGCACTTCTACACGTATTAAAGCATTTAATCCCCAACACAAACCTATGAGGTAGATTAACTGTCATCCTATTTTACAGATAAGGAAGCTAGTGCACAGTTAGCTGGCAGCTGGAGGGGAGGCCAAAACCAAATACATTTACATATTCTCTCATTTCCACGATAACAGCAATAATGATAGGTTCTTCCATGATCATAAAAAATAACTAGATGAAGTTGTAAGAAAATGCTTCCTGCTTTGAGGTCACTTGAAAGAGCAATGAGAAGAGTAAATTTAAGACAAACGGTGCCTTACGCCTGACTCAAAGAGTACATACAACCTAACTTCTGCAAAGGCACAGACGACAACTGACTAGTGAAGACAAACTGAAGAGTAAGTTGGGTGGGTGGACGCTGCACCTGAGGTAGGTCTCTGGAACTCTGCACACTACTAGGAATGTCTTCCATGATGCATATGGCTCCACATGGACAGACCCCTCTGTTTTTGAATTTAGGAGACTTCTGATATATGGACTGTAATAGGGTATCCACATATCTCTTTTTATTGACTGGTTTACTCCTTGTGTAGTGTTGCACATATGAGAAAGGATGCATGAGAGATAAAGGTTTCAGATCTAAAGGGTCTCAAAGGCCTTTATTCTATACTTATACTTCAGAGTATAGAATTTCAGGGGAAAATATTTTCCATCAGAAGTCTGAAGGTATACACATTGTCTGTCACCTGACTTTCAAGGTTGCTGTTGAGAAATCTGATGACATTTTCATTTCTGATCTTTTGTTTTCCTTCTCTAGAAACTCTTTAGGGTCTCATTTTTTTTTCTCCATGATCCTCTTCTTCAAACTTGGTGTTTTCATAATTCACAGCAACTTTCCTTAATGTAAGTTTCCCCTGAATCCATCTTGCTGGCCACCCAGCATATCTTTTAAATCTGGAAACTTGCATTTCCTTTTATGTTTCTAAGTTTGGGGTTTTTTTGTTTTTTGTTTTTTTGGTCTTCTTTAATCATAAAGAGACTTCATGTTGGGGAAACAGGTTCAAAAAACTTGAGGAAGATTTCATGATGGAAGCCAAGTGTCCACCCAGGAAGGGCAGTAGGGACACTGATAAAGAGCATGAAAATAAAGAGAAAACAGCCGGGCGCAGTGGCTCATACCTGTAATCCCAGCACTTTGGGAGGCCAAGGTAGGCAGATCACAAGGTCAGGAGATCAAGAACATCCTGGCCAACATGGTGAAACCTCATCTCTACTAAAATACAAAAAATTAGCCAGGCATGGTGGTGCAAGCCTGTAGTCCCAGCTTACTCAGGAGAGTGAGGAAGGGGAATCACTTGAACCTGGGAGACGGAGGTTGCAGTGAGCCAAGAATGCACCACAGCACTCCAGCCTGCCAAAAGAGCAAGACTCTGTCTCAAAAAAATATAAAGAAAATAAAGAGAAAAAAGGAGAGACACAGTGTGCCTAACGATGAATAGCCCTATGCTTGAATAGGTGTCTTCTGAGTGTGTAGTTTCTGATGCAGAATGAATCTTCCACACCAGCTGAAGTTTTTACCACACACTTTACACTCATAAGGTTTCTCACCAGTGTGAACTCGCTGGTGCTGAACCAGGGTTATTTTCTGATTGAATGCCTTCCCACACTCCTTACATTCAAAGGGCTTCTCCCCAGTGTGAATTCGCTGATGCTGAGTCAAGGCTGTGTTTGAGCTTAATCGTTTTCCACACTCTTTACATTCAAATGGTTTCTCCCCAGTGTGCATTCGCTGATGGACAGTGAAACTCGAGCTGCAACTGAAAGTTTTCCAACATTCATGACATTCATAGAGCTTCTCCCCAGTGTGGAACCTCTGGTGCTGGAGGAAGACCGAGCTGCTACTGAAGGCCCGGCCGCACTCCTTACATTCATAGGGCTTTTCTCCAGTGTGGATTCTCTGGTGCTGAATCAAGGCTGTGTCTGAACTTAAACCTTTTCCACATTCTTTACATTTAAATGGTTTCTTGCCAGTGTGAATTATCTGATGCCGAATAAGTAATGAATTATATCTGAAGTCTTTTCCACAATCTTTGCATTCAAAAGACCTTTCACCAGTGTGACATTTCTGATGTTGGTGGAAGTCTGCCATTCGAATGAAATATCTGCCACATTTCCCACATTCATAAGCTATCTGACCACTAGGAACTGTCTTATTCGCAGTGAGTTGTGTGCTGATGCTGATATTTTTTCCTACTTTCTCAGACTTCTCTCCATTCTTGACCACACAGGCCTCATGGTGCCTGGCTGAGGTATCTGTGAAATGTCTCCTCTTTGACGTTGTCTTAATTATCCAGTGACCTTGGGGCTGCTCTGGGCTGCTCCCAAAGTTAAAGTGCTGGGAAACAGTCCCTGGCAGCCCCTCCACCATCGGTCTGAAGGAGTCTGTTTCTCTGGACATGTGCTCCTTTGGAGTTAATCCTCCCTTCTCAGTTCTCATCTTATCCCCTATCACCAAAAGAAAATACAAGTGTCAGTCCCTGATCACACACACACACACACACACACACACACACATATATCTGTGCTGAAAAGGAAACAGAATCAAGTGGTTCTAACTTGCCCTGAGTATATGGATATTTCCTGATATGCTCACAAGATGGCTGCCTAAATCACAACACACCAGAGCCTCACGAAGGGCATGAAGACTCTGTGAAGGAGGCGGCAAGGCCCGGAGGCATTCCCACAAACAGTGTGAACACCAGCAAACTGCAAAGGCTGTTCATGAGGGCAGAAAGACTAAGAGGAAAGTGAATGAGGTGGATAAAGATGCAAACATGGAAAAGGAACAGATGAAAATCCCTGAGTGAGAGGCAGGCTGCAGAGATTGGAGAAGGGCCGGCTGAGCAGCTCAAGTACTGCAGCAGGTCCACAGGCTGAGACTCCTTAAGAGATGCTTGCGAGGGGACACCACCCACGTCACCATCGTGAAAAGGGAGCTCATCTCTACCATCAAGCCGGCTCTAGTAAAGCAGCAGGCTCCTAGGCAGTGGCTGAGGACGGCAGGCATGGCAACCACCACAGCATCCAGAAGGAGAAAGGAAGGCTTGGAGGCTTGCCTTAAACCAAAGAGCACTGGAAACGTGAAGAACTCTTCCAAACATGAACGTAGGTCCCAAAGAGGGCCTGGTACCGACGCTTGCCATTTTTCCTAAAAGGTCCCATAGGTTGTGCATTTGTTTAGTACAACAATTTGAGATGTGAACTACTAAACTCACGTGATAATAAGGGAAAACCAAAGAGAAATATTCTCTCAACTATCGAAACCTTTTGCAGACTAATAAAATCTTCAGCCTGCATGTGTTCACAAAAAATTGTTCAGAAAATATTTTTACTCAGATGACCTAGGGTACTGAGGTCAAATCCAGAAAGGTACAACTTTCGATCAAGACTTGGAGTGTATCAGTAACGGGCATTCTCTGCAGAAGAGCACAGAAAATTTTCACTGGCAGAGAAGGGGTGAAGCAGAGTAAGAAAGATTTAAAAACATACTATGCTGTTATTTTTATTTATTTATTTTTGAGATAGAGTCTCCCTATGTCACCCAGGCTGGAATGCAGTGGCACAATCACAGCTCACTGCACCCTCCACCTCTTGGTTGAAGCTATTCTCATGCCTCCGTATCCCGAGTAGCTGGGACTACAGGCTCACACCACCACACCCAGCTAATTTTTTATTTTCTTTCTTTTTTTTTTTTCAAGGCAGAGTCTCGCTCTGTCGCTCAGGCCGGAGTGCAGTGGTGCAATCACAGCTCTCTGCAAACTCCACCCCCAGGTTCAAGCGATTCTCCTGCCTCAGCCTCCTGAGTAGCTAGGATTACAGGCATGTACGACCACGTCTGTGCTAATATTCTGCATTTTTAGTAGAGACGGGGTTTCACCATGTTGGCCAGGCTGGTCTCGAACCCCTGACCTCAGCTGATCCACCCACCTCAGCCTCCCAAAGTGCTGGGATTACAGGCTTGAGCCACTGCGCCCGGCCCCAGGCAAAGGAATCTTACAGTCATTCCCGGCTTAAAAGAGACTGGCCCTTCCCCAGCGGAGGTAGGCTACCACCATGAACCCAGAGAACCACATGCAATGATTTCACAGCAACAGAAACAGTCTCCGAAGAGAAGAAACACTTCTTGCACAATGAAGTGTGAAAACAAGAAAGCAAGCCAAGCAAAAAAGGCAGCTAGTGGGTCCTCATGCTCACCTGGACAGACACCTCTGAGAGCCTCCCTGCCCACAGGTTCCCAGGGATCGAGGCCCCATGGCCGCTCCCCTTGCTCCAGCTGGGAGACCAGAACAGGCGTGGTGAATGGAAATGCTGCTCAGGTAGAAAGAAACAAGAAAAGGTCAAGGGATCAGAAAGCAGGTTCCTCTCACAGCCCCCTTTATCTTTCTCTGCTGAGCCAAGTAGTGGGAGACGATGTGAGGGAGGGAGAAACTTAATCTATGCTGCTGGAGGACAGAAATTTCCCACAGAGTGGGCAGAGTCCCAGAATAATCCCATGCTTACATAAGGGAATCTCAAGTTTTATTCAGAGAACTTGGAAGACAGAGACAGGGGGCTTTGCTGTGCTTCCAAGAGCTCCTTTACCTCCGATGTTTGGGGTACAGTCCCTCTCAGGGATGGAGGGACAGCTGATTTCACCACCTGGGAACACAGAGCTCTCTCCACCCAGTAACCTCCGTGCAGCTCGGCCTTCAGGGCAACAGGGAGTTATTAGAAACCCCACAAAATTATTGGGCCAGGAGCGGTGGCTCATGCCTGTAATCCCAGCACTTTGGGAGGGTGAGGCAGGAGGATCACTTGAGGCCAGGAGTTTGAGACCAGCCTGGCCAACATGGAGAAGCCCTGTCTCTACTAAAAATATACAAATTAGCCAGGTGAGGTGGTACTGCCTGTAATCCCAGCTACTTGGGAGACTGAGGCAGGAGAATTGCTTGAACCTGGCAGGTGGAGGCTGCAATGAGTTCAGATCATGCCACTGTACTCCAGCCTGAGTGACAGAGCAAGACTCTTGTCCCCCCACCAAAAAAAGATACCCCACAAAGTTCTAAGGAATAAAGAAGCCAAGATGCTCAAAGGGCAGAGGCCACAAATAAGAGAAGTCTTACCCAGGGAAGCCACATTTGCATAATTCTCCAGCATCACCTCCCTGTACAGGGCCCTCTGCACAGGGTCCAGGCTGGTCCATTCATTCTGGGTGAAGTACACAGCCACATCCTCAAAGGTCACTGGTTCCTAAAACAACAGGTTCCTGCTCAAACCCTGCGTCAGAGGGCCAGGCTAAGTAGCGGGGCAGAGACCTACGGGGTCTAGTGGTAATGTCAAGAAGAGTGACCCAGCACTCCACCAGAGGCCTGCCCGCAGCTATCTGTGCTGGCACCAATAGGGGAACCAAAGGTCACTGCACCCCTTTGTGGTCATCCCCAGCACACAGCTCTGTTTTCACCTGCTGATCTCTGCTTGCTTCCACTGTGCCCTGCTCTGTATGCCCATCTGTTCCTCTGGGCTCCTTTCCCCAGTGTGAGTTTTGTGTGCATACGCACAGGGAACATCTGTATAAACATAGTGAATAACACTTTCCTACTGATCTCCACTCTCTCCCTGACCCCAATAAAGTGACAGTAACAGCAGCCCAAGAGAAGAGTCAAAGCAGGCTGGGCACAGTGACTCACACCTGTAACCCTAGCACTTTGGGAGGCCAAGGCAGGTGGATGGCTTGAGAACAGAGCCTGGCCACGTGGCCAACAGGGTGAAACCTCGTCTCTACAAAAAATACAAAAGTTTGCCAGATGTGGTGGTGCATGCCTGTAGTCCCAGCTACCTGGGAGGCTGAGATGGGAGGATCACCCGAGCTTGGGGAGGTCGAGTTTGCAGTAAACTGTGATTGCACCACTGTACTCCAGCCTTGGAGACAGAGTGAGACCCTGTCTCAAAAAAAAAAAGAAAGAAAAAAGAGAGATAGAGAAGGGTCAAAGCCAACTAGAGATATAAACAGAATTTTAGAAGGCAGAAAAAGAATGAACGATAAATAGATTAGAAAAGTAGACAAAGATGAAACTCAACTTCTGGCAGAAGGGAAGGCCCAATTCAAACCACAGAACCAAGGATGGGCTAAGGGTTTTGTAAATGTGCACTGTTCTTTGTAACTTAGTAAAATATTATGTCTGCTTAAAAGCAACATAGAGAAGAAGGCCCAACCAAGTACTTGGGACAATGAATGAAAAATGTCTACACAAAGCCATGTAACTGAGAAGGCTCAGAAAAATGAGAATACAAACAGATCCTACAGGCTTTCAGAGAAGGAAAAACAACATACACATGAAGACAGGGAAGCCGAGATGGCAACAGATTAAACAGCAAAAGTAAAAGGGCAATGTTTTTTGAAAATCAGGCCAGGTGCGGTGGCTCACCCCTATAATCCCAGAAACTTGGGAGGCCAAGGTGGGCAGATTGCTTCAGCTCAGAAGTTTGAGACCAGCCTGGGCAATATGGTGAAACACCATCTCTACAAAAAAATACAAAAATTAGCCATGTCAGAGGGTGCTCCCAGCTACTCAGGAGGCTGAGGTGGGATGATCAGCTGAGGCTAGGGAGGTTGAGGACTCAGGAGCCTGAGGTGGGAGGAGCAGCTGAGGCTAGGGAGGTTGAGGCTGCAGAGAGCCGTGATCGCGCTACTGTACTCCAGCCTGGGTGACAGTGGGGCTGTCTCAAAAAAAAAAAAAACAAAAACGTACTAAGGGAAAACTTCCAGTTCTTATCTAGGTGGAATCATGGGGGGCTGAACTTTCCCTCCTGCCTGAAACGAAATAAACAGACAATTTATATACAACAATAATTTTGAAGATATCATGCAAAAAACAACAACAATCTCTGAGAAACAGGGAAAAAAAGAGGTGAGCCCTATAATTCCCTAGGCTACTACCTTTAGAAGTTTCCAGGCTGCAACACAGGAAAAGGGAACCGAGGCAGAACCTGGCAGATTTCCTGGTAGAGTTCAAAGAAACCAAGGCAGCTTGAGTTTATAGGACAGAATGCCAGAGAGGAAAGGGCTGCATAGAGATGGAATCTCAATTATCTGCGGAAGATCCCTTTAGAGTATTCAACACATACACATCAGCACATAGGTGTGAGAAAACTAACCAAGGCCAGAGAAAGTATCATTTGGAAAGGCTGAAAAGAACAATGTCTGATATTTACACATCATTAATCCTATGGAAAATGGAAAAAAAAGAGACAGGCCCCGGTGGCTCACAACTTTTGGGAGGCCTAAGGTGGGCAGATCACTTGAGGCCAAGAGTTCGAGACCAGCCTGGCCAACATGGTGATATCCCATCTCTACTAAAAATACAAAAAATTTGCCGGGCATCATGGTACGTGCCTGTACTCCCAGCTACTTGGGAGGCTGAGGCATAAGAATTGCTTGAACCCGGGAAGTGGAAATTGCAATGAGCGGAGATCACGCTATTGCACTCCAGCCTGGGTGACAGAGTAACCGTCTCAAACAAAAGGAAAAAAAAAGAAAGAAAATGGAAAAACAGGATCAAAGGGGAAAAAAGAACACACGGGACCATTGGAAAACAAGTAGAAAGAGGACAGGCTCAAATCTAGCCGCATCAATAATTGCCTCAAATGTAAATTAACATCCCAAACATTGTCATATTGTACTTAAAAAAAAAATAAGAACCTACTATCTGTCACCTTCAAGAAATGCACATTAAATGTAAAGACAGGGATACATTAAAAGCAAAAGGATAGGAAAAGATATACCACGACAATATTAATCAAAAGAAAACTCTAAGGCCAGGCATGGTGGCTCATGCCTGTAATCCCAGCACTTTGGGAGGTGGAGGCAGGAGAATGGTTTGCATTCAGGAGTTTGAGACCAGGCTGGGCAACACAGTGAGACCTTGTCTCTAGGAAAAGTAAGTTAGCCAAGCACGGTGGTCTGTAACATAGTCTCAAGTCCTTGGGAGGCTGAGGTGGGAGGATCACTTGAGCCCAGGAGGACCAGGCTGCAGTGGGCGTGAGCTGTGATTGTACCACTGCACTCAGCCTGGGAGACAGAATAAGACTGTCTCAAAAAAAAAAGAAGCTGTGGTGGCTAAATTCATATAAGACAATGTAGATAGGTAGATAGCCCATATTCTGGGCCATAAAAGAAAGCTCGATAAAATCAAAATGATTTAAGTCATACAAAGTATGTTTTCTGACTATAATGCAGTTAAATCTGATATAATAGAAAGAGCCTTGGAAAATCCCCTCATATTCGGAAACTCAGGAAAACCCTCCCATAAGGGAATATACGAAGGATTTTGAACTGAATGAAAATATAAACAACATGTACTAGAATTTGTGGGATAATGCTGATAATGCTAATGCAGTGCTTGGGAGGAAATTTATAGCATTAAATGCTTATTTTACAAAACAAAAGAAGAAAGATCTCAAATCTGTGACTTCAGCTTCCCTCTAAAAGCTAAAAAAAACGAATAGCAAATTTAACACAAAATAAGTGTAAAAGCAATAAAGATCAAAGTGAAAACTAATAGAAAAGTAATGCAACCAGAAGCTATTTTTTTTTTTTTTTTTTTTTTTTTTTTTTTTTTTGAGACGGAGTTTCGCTCTTGTTACCCAGGCTGGAGTGCAATGGCGCAATCTCGGCTCACCGCAACCTCCGCCCCCTGGGTTCAGGCAATTCTCCTGCCTCAGCCTCCTGAGTAGCTGGGATTACAGGCACGCGCCACCGTGCCCAGCTAACTTTTTGTAATTTTTAGTAGAGACGGGGTTTCACCATGTTGACCAGGATGGTCTCGATCTGTTGACCTCGTGATCCACCCGCCTCGGCCTCCCAAAGTGCTGGGATTACAGGCTTGAGCCACCGCGCCCGGCCCAGAAGCTATTTCTTAAAGAAAAATCAACAGAATTTATAAACCTCTAGCCAGACTGACCAGAAAAACAGAGAGAATTCACAACACACCAATATTAGTAATAAAAGAAGTGACATCACTGTAGATAATAAAAGATAAGGACATATTACGTGCAACTTTATGTGAATAATTTCTACAACTTAGATAAAATGTGTAAGTTCCTTGAAAGGTACAAGTTACCAAAACTCCTTTGAGCTGGGCATAGTGATGCATGCCTGTAGTCCCAGGTACCTGGGAGGCTGAGTGGGGAGGATCACTTGAACCCAGGAATTTGAAGCCAGCCTGAGCAACACAGAGAAAATCGTGCCAAAAAATAAATAAGTAAATAAAAATAGATAGATAGCCAAAGCAGCCACTACCAAAGGACCCAAAATGGTCCTTACAAATCTTATCAGAAAGAAAACTCCATGCCTAGATAGCTTCACTGGTGAATTCTACCAAACATTTAAGGAATAGAAGTAATCAACTCTATATAAATTCTTCCAAAATATTAAAGAGGAGGGAATATTTATCATTCTATGGAACAAAGACATTACAAGAAAAGAAATCTGCAAATCAATACCTCATAAACATAGATGCAGAAAGTCTAAATAAAATGTTAACAAATCAAATTCAAGATATACTAATAGAATAACACATCATAAAGAAGTTGGTTTTATCTCAACGCAGAGTTGGTTTGATATTTGAAAGAAAAATATAATTCACCACATTAATCAACTAAGAGAAAAACCACATGATTATCTAAAAAGACACAGAAAAAGCATTTGTCAAAATCCAACAACCATTCCTACAAAAACTCTCACCAAACTAGGAATAAGAGGGAATGTCCTCCACCTGATAATGGGCATGTACAAAAAAAAAACAAGAAACCCACAGTGAACATCAGTCTTCAGGGTGAAAGACTGAATGCTTTCATTTTTAAAAGATATTTGGTGTCACCACTTCTGTTCTAGAATTGCATGACGCTTCTAGCCAGTGCAGTGAGGCAAGACAAATAAAATAAAAGGCATCCAGACTGGAAAGAAAGGGGTAAAACTATCTTTACTCTTAGATGACCTATGTAGAAAACCCAACGGAATCTACAAAACAGTTACTAGGATTGCTTTACGGGAGATGTAAATACTTCTCCAAGCCTGCGGATAGGAGTGAAAGGGTCTTTACTGTAGGTAATAATGCAAATTTCCACATTTCAGAAGTTTTGTTTTTTTTTTAAGCTGGCTCAACTGCCAAATCCCAACCAACCGCCCCCCCAACACACACACACACTAGTTTTGCAGTTTTAATTTGAGCATTCTCGCCTCTCCATCGCTTTCATGGTGACAGATGCACAATGGAAGCCACTGGCCTACACAACTCAAGATCTGAATGCAGAGGTGACACCTGCTCTCTCTTGACATCAAAGGGGTGGGAGGGAGGGAGAGGAGGCTCACTCACCTGGCGCCAAGCGGTCTGGAGCATGGCTGGCGTCCCAGCTCCACACACTGCCTCGGGGGTCGGAGAAGTGACAATGAAGAGAAAATAAGCGCCGGTGAGATTGAGGCTGCCTCGCACCCGGCAAATGCGCTCTGTGCGACTTGGGCCCCTCTCCGTTCCGCCACCCCCTCACCCCAAAAGCACAGGGGTTGGAAAACCTGGCAGAACCTGCCCCAAAGAAAGCAATCGGCTACCCGGCCCGCGAGCCTCTTCCGCTCGGACTGCGAACCCCCCGCGGTGCAGGCGCAGAGAGAGCGTGGGAATGCCACCCGCCGCCGGCACCGGGGGGAGCCTGGGGCCCTCCGCCGGAAGTGCGTTTTCCATACCCGTCCTCTCTAGGAACCTGGGAAGTTGCCGGTCTCTGTGATTCCCTACCGCGGCCGCCACTGCCAGCGTCCCTCCTCCCTGAGACAGCACGGGGCAGAGCGGGCGGTCCCAGGCACGGGTCCTGCAGCGCCCACACCTGGTAGCTCCTTTGGGGCATGACGTCCGGCCAGCTCAGGCCACAGAATGGTTACGATCCCGGGTATTTTTCATGGTTATCCGGCATTTGCCACTCTGGGTGTTCTTCCAGGTAATGAAAGGACCACTGCTCCTTCCACGTGCGCCAGAGCTGTCTGGATTCTGTGGCTGCGCTGCAGTGGGAAGAGTGAGCGTGGGAAAAGTCGGGCCCATCACTCAGAAGGCCTAATGTGTATGGACTGCTAGGTCCAGAAACCTAGCTGCAAGTTTCTTCGCCCCCGTTTCCTTGTCTGTTAAATGGGTATGATGGTGGTACCGACCTCAAAAGGCTGTCCAGGTTTCATTCATTAAATGAGTTAACTGATAGGCAAATCATTTACAGTTGTGCCTGGCACATAAGAAGTGCTGTTCATTCCCCGGCATCTCCAAAACAGCCAACTTCCACTTGGGCCGGGCGCGGTGGCTCACACCAGTAATCCCAGCACTTTGGGAGGCCGAGGCGGGTGGATCACGAGGTCAAAAGATCGAGACCATCCTGGTCAACATGGTGAAACCCCGTCTCTACTAAAAATACAAAAAATTAGCTGGGCACGGTGGCGCGTGCCTGTAATCCCAGCTACTCAGGAGGCTGAGGCAGGAGAATTGCCTGAACCCAGGAGGCGAAGGTTGCGGTGAGCCGAGATCGCGCCATTGCACTCCAGCCTGGGTAACAAGAGCGAAACTCCATCTCAAAAAGAAAAAAAAAAAAGAAGTGCTGGTGAGATCGTATTGTTTTGTTTTCCTATTTGCTTTTGAACACAAAATAGGTACTGCTGGGACTCCAGAATGTGGCGCGCTTCAGGGAAATAGCTGTTTTGTTTTACTAGACCATTTTTGAAGTTGAGGGCAAGAGCTATTAACATTTGGCCTTAGAGTCCTTTCCTGCCCTATACTCAGATGTGTGTCCTGGCCCAGCCTGGAGACAGATTTTACTTATTCCTTCTGCCAGAATTAGATTTATCCACCAGCTGCAACACAAGCCCTGCCACGGAGACTTTATTATGTATCTACTGCTGCATAATAAACCACTCTAGTACTTTGTGGCCAAAAATAATAAACATTTTTATCTTTCACAGTTTCTGTGGACACAGAATTCGAGAGCGGCTTGGCTGGGTGGGACTGGCTGAGGTCTCTGCTCAGTCAGGTGTCATGTGCGGCTGAAGTCATCTGAAGCTTCACTGAGTTCAGAAGATCCACCTCCAAGGTGGTTTACTCACATGCCTGGCGCATTGTCGCTGGGTGTGGTGCCTCGGTTCCTTCTCAGGCGAGTGTTTTCACAGCAGGGCATGTAGCTTTCTCCCAAGCCAAAGCTTTTATGACCTAGTTTTGGAAGTCATGCACCATCATTTCCTCCATGCTTTCTCCTCAGAAATTAGTCACAATTCAATGTGGGATGAGATAAACAATGGCTTGAATGCCAGGATATGAGAATCACTGGGGCTACTGTGGGGTACCTAGCACCAAGATCTTACCTGTCACAGAAACTGTTCATTTTTTGAAATCTATAGTATTTTCACTGTAAAGTTTATGCACAGCAATTGTTTTAAACAATTAGATTTCCAGAAACAATGGCATGACACGGACATACATTTTACATACTGCCCCTTCACTAAACCTACTAAAATGAACGTTTACCATGAACGAACATACATATGTGGGTGCACATAAACATACATACATACATACCACAAATTCTAAACAGTATTAGCCAGTGGAAAAAAAGCTGATAAATTGGACTTAAAAGTTAAATCTTCTGCTTTTCAGAAGATACTTTTAAGAGAATGAAAAGACAAGCCACGGACTGGGAGAAAATACTGAAAATATTTGATAAAAGACTTGTTTCCAAAAGATATAAAGGACTCTCAAAATTCACTCATAAGGAAAGAAACCAATTTTTAAAAATAGGCAAAGGATTTGAAAAGCTACTTCACCAAAGAAGATATATGGAAATCAATTAAATATTTGAAAAGATGCTCAACATCATTAGTCACTAGAGAAATGCAAATTAAAACCACAATGAAACAGTATTACACACTTATTAGAACAGCTAAAAGTAGAGACAACATCAAGTGCAGGCAAAGATGTAATCAGAAGTGGAACTCATACAACACTGATGGAAAGGTGCAATGGCACAGTCTCTGAAAAAACTCAGCAGATTCTTTAAAACTTAAACATATACCTGCCTTATTATCTAGCCATTTCATTCTTGTTATTTACCCAAGAGAAATGAAAACTTATGTCCTTACATTACAAAGACTTGCACACAAAGTTTCATAAGAGTTTTATTTGTAAGCCAAAAACTGGAAACAACTCAAATGGCCATCAGCTGGTGAATGGATAAATAAATTGTGGTATATCCATACAGTGGAATACTACTGAGTAATAAAAAGGAATGAATTACTGATATATATGCAACATCAGTGAATCTTAAAATAATTCTGTTGAATGGAAGACATCACACCAAAAAATAAAAAATAACTTTTAAAAGAGTACATACTGTGTGATAGCACTTATATAAAATTCTAGAAAATGAAAACTTTAGTACAAAAAACAGGTGGTTTTTTGGGGCTGGGGCAGGAAAAGAGCAGGCTGCGATGGAGAGATTATAAAAGGGCGTAAGGAACTTTTGGGGGTATGTTTGTTATCTTGATTGTGTTATTGTTTGAGAGGTGTATACATATGGCAAAACTTATCAAATTATACACTTTATGCGTGGTTTATTGTATGTCAGTGACACCTTAATTAAAAAAAATACATACTGGAAAGACAAGATAATCTTAAGATGCTTGTGTCCTTGTTCTAATCCTGCTAGGACAAACCTGAAGGAAAAGCCACTCATCAGGGAGGAGAATCTGTGGCCTGAAAGTGCTCACTAAATTCGAGGAAATGTTAATGGGGAAGAACCAGCAACAAGACATGGCCTAGTGAAATTACTAATCTTGAAGATTTAAAGTTCCGCAAATTTCCAGACGAAAAGGGAAGCAAAATCAGGTTGCCTCAAACTTCTTCTTGGCAACATTAATGCCAAGACACACACATGGACCAGGGTCTGGAGTAATGCTTCTCAAACCTTAGTGTGCCCACAAAGTCACCTGGCAGCATTGTCAGAGTAGAGTCTCATTTCCACGAGCTTGTAGTTCTGATAATCTCCCAGGTGACGCCAATGCTGCTGGTCTTCAGGTGACAATTTGAGTAGCAAAGCTCTAAAAAAGTGTTTTTTGGGCCGGGTGAAGTGGCTCACACCTGTAATCCCAGCACTCTGGAAGGCTGAGGCAGGTGGATCACCTGAGTTCAGAAGTTCGAGACCAGCCTAGCCAACGTGGTGAAACCCTGTCTCTACTAAAAATACAAAAAAATTTATCTGGGCATGGTGGTGCGTGCCTGTGATCCCAACGAGGCAGGAAAATCGCTTGAACCTGGGAGGCAGGGTTGCAGTGAGCTGAGATTGCATCACTGCACTCCAGCCTGGGGGACAGATCAAGACTCCATCTCAAAAAAAAAAAAAAAAATGTGGTTCTTTGTAGAACCATTTTATAATTAGGGAGTTAAAAAACTACTGATACCTAGGACCTACTTCCAGAGGTTCTGAAGTAATTGGTCTAGGATTCAGCTAGGCATTGGTATTAAAAAGCAAAAACAAAAACACAACACCCCAAGTGGTTCTAACGGGCAGTTGGGTTAAGAGCCTCTGGTATAGAGTGTGGAGGGAAATGAACTTAGTCGAAGAAGTGTATGCCCAACATGGTACATTCCTTGTAGAGTATCCATCAGTACACACCAGCCCCTTTGGCTGCCCTCCTCACCAACAGCAGTGAGCCCCAGATAGCCACATAAATACTATGTAATCCTGCTCCCCTGCCCAAAGTTGAATTAATCAAGAATGAATATATGACCTGAATGGGACCAGATCACACTCTCTCCCTGTAATTCAGAGTTGAGACAAAGAATAGTCATTTCTTAGCAGGGTCCAACTGTGGACAGCCCTACTCTTGAACAAGTGTCATTTTTTTGTTGAGACAGAGTCTCACTCTGTCACCCAGGCTGGAGTGCAATGGCGTGGTCTTGGCTCACTGCAATCTCCACTTTTGGGTTCAAGCGATTCTCCTGCCTCAGCCTCCGGAGTAGCTGGGAACAGGCACCCACTACCACACCTGGCTAATTTTTGTATTTTTAGTAGAGATGGGGTTTCATCATGTTGGCCAGCCTGGTCTTGAACTCCTGACCTCAGGTGATCCAGCCACCTCAGCCTCCCAAAGTGCTGGGATTACAGGTGTGCGCCACCATACCCAGCTAATTTTTTGTATTTTTAGTAGAGACGGGGTTTCACCATGTTGACCAGGATGGTCTCGATCTCTTGACCTTGTGATCCACCCGCCTCGGCCTCCCAAAGTGCTGGGATTACAGGCGTGAGCCACTGCGCCCGGCGAAGTTGGTTTCTTAATGACAATTCTGGTCTTATCTGGTGATATAACAAAAAGAAAAGAAAAGGCCAGACACGGTGGCTCGCACCTGTAATCCTAGCACTTTGGGAGGCCGAGGTGGGCAGATCACTTGAGGTCAGGAGTTTGAGATCAGCCTGGCCAACATGGCAAAACGCTGTCTCTACTAAAAATACAAAAATTAGCTGGGCATGGAGGCGTATGCCTGTGGTCCCAGCTACCTGGGAGGCTGAGACATGAGAATCACTTGAACCCAGGAGGCAGAGATTGCAGTGAGCCAAGATGGTGCCACGGCACTCCAGCCAGGGTGACAGAGCAAGACATTGCCTCAAAAAAAGAAAAAAAAGAAAAAGAGAAGCAAAGGAAAAGCCAAATTTCAATCATTAGCTGAACTACAGGAGAAAGTCAATCAAGTGTTACTAGCAGACTCTAAAATGGCTGCATAAGGGCCAGAGGAAACAGGGGCAGAAAACTGAAGATGCAGATAATAGGATCGCACAGAAAACGGAAGATGCTGGTAATGAACGGCGTGGGTCAAAAGAGGAGCTATTTGTCTCCACAAGCAGTGTGACAAGAATAGAGTGTAGAGGGAGATGGAGCAGGTCCCTTCAGGGTTGGAAGAAGGCTAGAGAAGAGTGAGCGGGAAGTGGGGAAGCAGCAGCAAGAGTGTAGGAAGAAGAAACAGGAAGTGACCGGGTCTGGAGGAGCGGGCCCAGTGAGCAGCTGGAGCACCGCAGCACATCCAGCAGGCTGAGGAGCAACCCCGTCTCTAAAAAATACAAAAATTCAACACATCCAGCAGGCTGAGGAGCAACCCCGTCTCTAAAAAATACAAAAATTCAACACATCCAGCAGGCTGAGGAGCAACCCCGTCTCTAAAAAATACAAAAATTCAACACATCCAGCAGGCTGAGGAGCAACCCTGTCTCTAAAAAATACAAAAATTCAACACATCCAGCAGGCTGAGGAGCAACCCTGTCTCTAAAAATATACAAAAATTAGCTGGGTGTGGTGGTGTATGCCCCAGGGCGCAAGCCATCCTCCCACGTCAGCCTCCCAGCTTCTCAGAGGGTGAGCTGGGAGGACGGCTCGAGCCCCAAGGGTCAGCACTGCAGTGGACCATGATCACACCACTGCACTCCAGCCTGAGTGACAGAGCAAGACCCTGTCTCAAAAAATAGGAAAATGCAAAAAGAAAATAGAAAAGGAACCCAAACTGAAAAACCACATCGCCTCCTAATAAAGTTCAAAGACATAATTTTACATTATTGCTCAGTGTCAACTCATCACTTCATTCTCTTTTTCCATAAATGGGACGCTTATAATTTTTTATTACTATCAAGGTAATAAAAAATTTCAAGTCTTAAATTCTTTCAGTGAGCCTTGCCACTGGTCCACCAAATGGCCCTCCTTAAATCCTGAAAGCAGGCTGGCTCACACCTGCAATCCCAGCAGTTTGGGAGGCCGAGGTGGGTGAATCACCTGAGGTCACGCGTTTAAGGCCAGCCTGGCCAACATAGTGAAACCTTGTCTCTACTAAAACTACAAAATTAGCCAGGCATGGTGGTGCATGCCTGTGGTCCCAACTACTCAGAAGGCTGAGGCATGAGAATTGCTTGAACCCCAGAGGCAGAGGTTACAGTGAGCTGAGATCACACCCTTGCACTCCAGCCTGAGGAACAAGAGTGAAACTCCGGCAAAAAAAAAAAAAGAAACCCTGAAAGCAATATTGGACACTTTATCTGATTATCTTCTCCCACAGGCTTTACACTTCTCCTACTTTCTAATTATAATGTCCCATCTCATCATAATCACAATGCCATATGCCCCAAACCCCAAAGTGTTCTGCAAACTCTTCCAACTCCAGCAGCCCCAGAAGGCAGATGCAGAGTGATGATATGGCGCAAGCGTGGACATGAAGAAGAGGAAGTACTGCCATTTCCTACCCGGGGAATAAAAGACGCTCATCGATACGGTCCTCAAGTGTGAGAACTCAAAATGAAGTTAGGAAAACAATACGGTCCTCAAGTGTGAGAACTCAAAATGAAGTTAGGAAAACAATACGGTCCTCAAGCGTGAGAACTCAAAATGAAGTTAGGAAAACAATACGGTCCTCAAGCGTGAGAACTCAAAATGAAGTTAGGAAAACAATAACAACTTAAACAAGACCAGAAGACATCAGTATTCCACAACCAGGAGCCCAGTGGAATCCCTAATTTGAGGTGCAATGGGTGTTGAGAACATGAGGGGCTCACAGGGAGTGAGACAAAGGATTCAGGCTATGAGGGGATGACCTCCCAGGAAAAGTGAGATCCTGAAAGAAATGTACTATTTGGACAGGTGAAGGGCTGGCCTTTTCAGATGAGGGAAGCAGCAGGAAGAAAGGCACAGAGGGAGGAAGTATCACTGCATGTGAAGAAGATAAGGGAGGCTCTGGTGGGGCCCGGGTAGAGCAGGCATGTTGGAGAGGCAGAGGAGAGAGGACGGGAGAGTGGCAGTAGGGCTTAACTGCAGATAGCCCTGTTCCATCGATGACTTTCTTCCTAGTATGCCACTTCTGATGCTGAATGAAACTTGCATTCCATTTGAAGGTTTTCCCGCACTCCTTACACTCAAAAGCTTTCTCCCCAGTGTGAACTCGCTGATGCTGAACCAGAGTGATCTTCTGACTGAATGTCTTCCCACATTCCTGGCATTCCTAGGGCTTCTTCCCGGTGTGGATTCTCCGATGCACTATGAAGCAGGAGCCACAACTGAAAGTTTTCCAACATTCGTTACATTTGTAGAGTTGTTCCCCAGTGTGGAACCTCTGGTGCTGAAGAAACACCGAACTGCGGTGGAAGGCCTTGCCACACTCTTTACATTCATAAGGTTTCTCCCCAGTGTGCATTCTCTGATGCTGAATCAGGACTGTATTAGAACTCAAAACTCTTCCCGCACTCCTTACATTCATAGGGCTTCTCCCCAGTGCGAATTCATTCATGGATGAAGCAGTCATAGCTACACCTGAAGGCCTTCCCACATTCCTTACATTTAAAGGGCTTCTCCCCAGTATGGATTCTCTGATGCCGAATCGGTTTTGAATTATAGCTGAAGGTTTTTCCACAGTCAGCACATTCATAGGGCCTCTGTCCACCATTGAGTTTCTGATGCTGAAGAAGGTGGGAATTTTGACTGAAGGCTTGTCCGCATTCCTCACATGAATATGGTTTCTCTCCAGTGTGGATTTTCTGATGCCGTGACAGTTTTGAGTTATATCTGAAGGTTCTCCCACATTCTTTGCATTTGTAGGGCTTTTCACTAGTGTGAATTGTCTGATGCTGGTGAAAGTCTGAATGTGGGTTGTAGTAACTGCCACACTCGCTACATTTATAAAACACCCGTTCTTCAGCAAAGTCCTGCTTTGTAATGAGATGTGTGCTGACACTACTTTCTTCCAATTTCCCGGCTCTCTCTTCCCTTTCAATGGTGGAAGATTTATGATCCTGGACTGTCAAGTCTGTGCAATCTCCTATGTTTGTTTCCTTCCCTGTATCATGGAGCTGTGACTTCCCTAACCTGCCCTTGAAGTCAGGGTGCTGGGGAATGTCCATCAGCAGTCCCTCCACTATCAGTCTGCGGGACTCTGATTCTTTAGAAACGTTTAGCTGTGCAGTTTCTTCCTTAGCCTTAGTCTTGGTTTTACCATCTAGCATGATAAAAGGAAAACACAAGAGAATGCCAGAAGGGAAAGGGATTAATCAGTATCAACTTGCCCTAGACACATTAATTTTTTGAGAGAGACATAGCCACCTGATGGTACCTCAAAGGGAAAGTAAAAAAACTGGAGGTGGAGAAGGTAAGCAATCCCGTATGAATGATAAAAACAGTGTGGATGGCAGAAGATACCGACTGAGGCAAATGGATAAAGAAAAATGGGAATGGGGTGACGTTGCAGGAAGGGGAAGCAATGAAGAAAAGCAGAGGAAGCCAAAGGTGAGAAAAGCGATCTCTAAACCGGAGAAGAGAAAGATGGGCAGGCAGCTCTAGCACCACATGGTACCCAGAGGTCTGGGAGCTGTCTGCGACAGTGGACCTCCAAGCCCAATCAAGGCATAAACCCTGTCAAAGACTTTAAAACACTCTGTAATTTTTAAAGAAATGTTCTCTAGTTCTCTATCACAAGCCTGGCTGGACAGAAAGCAGTTCATGACACTGCCGTTTATGAAGGGTTCATGAGAACACCACAATTTTAGAACCTAAGTGCTGTCCTCTGGGAGACTAACCTTTGAAAGAAACGAAGGCCCAGCCAAGAATCTGCCCAGAACGGAAACGGCAGTTGGAGTTGGGATATGGGGATCATGCTTTCACTGGTAGCACCATAACACAGAAACCTTCTTTGCCTTGTCAAGCACCAGCAATACGACAAATGAAACTTCCATTTTAATGTTTTTTTGTTTTTTTTTTTTGAGACAGAGTCTTGTTTGTCGCCAGGCGCCAGGCGCCAGGCTGGAGTGCAGTGGCGCGATCTCCGCTCACTGCAACCTCCGCCGCCCGGGTTCAAGCAATTCTCCTGCCTCAGCCTCCCGAGTAGCTGGGACTACAGATGCGTGCCACCATGCCCAGCTAATTTTTTATATTTTAGTAGGGACGGGGTTTCACTATGTTGGCCAGGATGGTCTTGATCTCCTGACCTCATGATCCGCCCGCCTCAGCCTCCCAAAGTGCTGGGTGGGATTACAGGCTTGAGCCCCTGCGTCCGGCCCATTTTTATGTTTTTTGAGCCTTGTTGACCATGACTCACATTTTGGATCCTAAACCAATACAGACACACACACACCTCACTCACACACCTGAAACAGAAACAATGTCCTTAATAAGAGCGATGTATCCATTTGTTGGTGTAAATTCTTCTTTATGTTGGTGCTCTTTACTTTTTGGTGTATTTTTAGAAGGCTAATACTGGTTGTTTCTTTCTGTGTGTAATGCTTCTTTCAGAAGCATTGTAAAGCAGGCCTGGTGGTAATAAAATCTCTGAGTTCTTGCTTGTTCATAAAAGATTTTATTTTTCCTTCAGTTGTGAAGCTTAGTTTGGCTGGATATGAAATTCTGGGCTGAAGGTTCTGTTCTTTGAGGATGTTGAATATTGGCCCCCACTCTCTTCTGGCTTGTAGAGTTTCTGCTGAGAGATCTGCTGTAAGTCTGATAGGCTTGCCTTTGTGGGTAACATGACCTTTCTCTCTGGCTGCCCTTAGTATTTTCTCCTTCGTTTCAACCCTGGTGAATCTAAGGATTATGTGCCTTGGGGTTGCTCTTCTTGAGGAATATCTTTGTGGTGTTCTCTGTATTTCCTGGGGTTGAATTTTGACCTGCTTTGCTAGTTTAGGAAAATTTTCCTGAATAATATCCTGAAGGGTATTTTCCAGCTTGGATTCATTCTCTCCATCGCATTCAGGTACACCTATCAAACGTAAATTTGGTCTTTTCACATAGTCCCACATTTCTTGGAGACTTTGCTCATTCCTTTTTATCCTTTTTTCTCTAATCTTTTCTTCACGTTTTATTTCATTAAGTTGGACTTTGACCTCTGATATCCCTTATTCTGCTTGAACAATTCGAGTGTTTAAACCTGTGCATACTTCTCGGAGTTCCTGTATTGTATTATTTAGTTCCATTAATTCACTCATGCTCCACTCTAAGTTGTCAAAAATAAATAATAAATAAATAAAAAGCAGGAGTTGCAATTCTCGTATCGGAGAAAATAGATTTTAAAGCAACAAAGATATAGTGGTAAAAGAATCAATGCAACAACAAGAGCTAACGATCCTAACACCCAGACACGAGACTTAGATTCAATGAGACAGAAAATTAATAAGGATATCAAGGACTCGAACTCAGATCCGGAACAAGTAAACTTAATAAATATTCATAGAGCTCTCCACTTCAAATACACAAAATATACATTCTTGTCAATACCACATCACACCTACCCATAAGTTTAAATGAAACATTGATTGGCCATTATTAATACTCAATTTTTTTCAAAATAAAGCAATATTTCCATTTACTCTCCCTCTTTCTCTTCCTCTTTCTTCCTCTCCTTTACTTATTTTTTTTTTCTTTCCTTCTCTCAAAAAAAAAAAAAAATAAACTTGTAAACCTCTAGATCCAGGTCGGCAATGTCTCTCTCATTGCTTGATTTCCTTCCTTCCCTTCCCTCCCTCCCTCCCTCCCTCCCCGCTTCCTCCCTTCCTTCCTTCCTTCCTTCCTTCCTTCATCCCTTCCTTCCTCCCTACCGTCCTTCTTCCCTCCCTTCCTGCCTTCCTCCCCCGACCCCCCAAAAAAAAAAAAAAAAAAAAGCGATGTATTCACGCCAGGCGTGGTGGCTCATGTCTGTAATCCCAGCACTTTGGGAGGCCAAAGTGGGCGGATCATCTGAGGTCAGGAATTCAAGATCAGCCTAGCCAACCCTGTGAAACCTCGTCTCTATTAAAAATACAAAAAATTAGCTGGGCGTGGTAGCAGGCGCCTGTAATCCCAGCTACTTGGGAGGCTGAGGCATGAGAATCACTTGAACCTGAGTGATGGAGATTGCAGTGAGCCGAGATCGCACCAATGCACTCCAGTCTGGCGGACAGAGCAAGACTCTGTCTCAAAAAAAAAAAGTGATGCATTCACAATAGGCTTTATAGTATTTTAGACTTTATTTATAGCTAGTACAGTCTAATCTAATTTTCAAATGCCGGTAACAACTTATTGATGAGTTGCGACCCAGAGTTTAAAGAATATGGTTCTAAATGTTCAAGAACAGTGGTCTCAAATGGTGGTCCCTGAACCAGCATCGTCTGAGAACCTCTTAGAAATGCAAATCACTGGGGCTGGGTTTGGTGGCATGTGCCAGTAGTCCCACCTAATTGAGAGGCTGAAGTGGAACAATCACTTGAGCCCAGGAATTTGAGACCAGACTAGGCAAAATAACAAGACCCTATCTTGAAAAACAAAATGCAAATTCCCAGGCCCGCCCCAGTCTACTGAATTTGAATCTCTGGAGGTGTCACCTGGCAATTGTGTTTTAACAAGTTCTGCAAGTAATTCTGATACATACCAGAGTTTGAAGTTTACTACTCCATAAACTAGATAAGACAGATTGAGGCTGCTCTTTTCAGTGTTCAAGGCTGCACCTTCCCAAAAGGCGGCCACTAGCCACATGTGGCTGTTTCAATGTCAATGAATTAAAATGGAATAAAATCAAAAACTCAGTTCCTCAGTTGCCCTAGGCACACTTCAGGTGCTCATGTGATTCTTCTGGCTAAACAACCATGTGCACCTGTGTCAAGAGGCGACACTAAGGACTGCAGGAAGGATGCCGGGAAAGCCGCTGGATCACCTCAAATGCTGGTCAATTTAAGGCACTGATTAAGGCAGAAGTGGGGGAATTAGAAAGGAGCGTTTGCCTTATAGCGGCTCCGAATACCATACAAGATTGACGGAATATGAGATCCGAGCAATCGAATGAGGAAGGCTGTATATCAGATCTCTGATTGGTCTTTACATTTATCTCAATTCAGTATCTTTCATAAAAGAAAACTATTTATTCCCAATATAGAAACAAGCTTTCTTTCAAAAGCCAATGTAAAATTCAGTGTTTAGGAATTCAGAAAAATTCCACTTAGATATATAGTTTTACACACACACACACACACACACACACACACACACAATGTTCTTACAAAAACAACTTCTAGCTGAGCACGGTCGCTCACACCTGTAATCCCAGCACGTGGGGAGGCCGAGGCAGGTGAATCACTTGAGGTCAGGAGTTTAAGACCAATCTGGGCAAAATGGTGAAACCCTCTCTCTACTAAAATGACAAAAATTAGCCGGGCATGGTGGTGGGCGCCTGTAATCCCAGCTACTTGGGAGGCTGAGGCAGGACAATCGCTTGAGCCTGGGAGGCAGAGGTTGCAATGAGCTGAGATAGTGCCACTACACTCCAGCCTGGGCGACAGAGTGAGACTCTGTCTCAATCAATCAATCAGTTGATCAATAAGAAGCCAAGTTCGTGGCTGGGTGCAGTGGCTCATGCCTGTAATCCCAGCATGTTGGGAGGCCAAGGAAGGTGGATCACAAGGTCAGGAGTTCGAGACCAGCCTGGTCAACATGGTGAAACCCTGTCTCTACTAAAAATACAAAAATTAGCCAGGCATGGTTGCGTGTGCCTTAAGTCCCAGCTACTTGGGAGGCTGAGGAAGAAGAATCACTTGAACCCAGGAAGCAGAGGTTGTGGTGAGCCGAGATCATGCCACTATAGTCTAGCCTGGGCAATAGAGCGAGACTCTGTCTCAAAGAAAAAAAAAGAAAGAAAACCAAGTTCTTACTATATTGTATTTATATTCCTGAGCTGACCAACCAACAGAAGTCTGTCTGAAATATATACATATATGTATATGTATGTGTATGTATATGTATATGTATATGTATGTATATGTATATGTATGTATATGTATATGTATATGTATGTATATGTATATGTATATGTATATGTATATGTATGTATATGTATATGTATATGTATATGTATATGTATGTATATGTATATGTATATGTATATGTATGTATATGTGTGTATATGTATATGTATATGTATATGTATGTATATGTATATGTATATGTATATGTATGTATATGTATATGTACGTATATGTATAT